AAATGCGGCCATAAATACTTCTAAGAATGAATTTAAATCATAAAAAAGTCGTGAATCATTTTCCATCAAAGATGTAAACCAAAAAAGAGCACTTTCAGATTGAAGTGCAGCTATGAAACAAACTTGAATAAATCCATTTGCATATTGGAAAGGGTGTAACCCTAAGTAGAGCTTAATTTGTTATAATAATCATTGAAATTTTGATCTTTTTCCATCAAACTTCTTGGGCATACTAATTCTTACCTCTCTTGAGCTTGTAGAAGGAAGACCCTTTGAATTTGGTTGTGAGGCTGATCAACTTATTTCCTTCAACTGCACAACTTCTTGACGTAGATTTTGGACTACTTCCATAGGTATAGAAGTATTGCTTCCATGGTTGATGTTGGTGATGCATGAAATTTCAGCCCTAAAAGTGTTGATAAGCTCATGAAGATCCCCAATAGTTGCAAATCTATTCTCACTATTGCTAGGAGTAGAAAACTCAAATAAATCCAAAAAATTAAATTAGAGGAGGGTAATCCACAACATCTAATAAAAATTTCTACAAAAAGGTGTAATCCACTCTTTTAAAAGAAAAGATCAATGTTAAAAAAAAGATTTTTTGTTTAAAGGTGGGTAGTCCATAACCTTTAAAATATAACAATAGAAGTGGAGTAATCCATTTACTTCTAAAACAAGACAAAAATAGTATATTAGTACTCTTGTCAAATTGTCAAGGACATGAATCTCGAAGAAAAAAAATCCTTAATATATTCTTGTATCATTGAAGAGAACTAGAAAGTCACTCAAAAGGTGATGTAATATTAAACTAGAATGGCTATTGCCAAAAACAAGAAGACTAAATAATCTTGAAACAAGACTAAAGACTAAAAATGCATTGACAAGAATGAAGAAGGCTTCATTCATGACTCTATATATACTCTTAACTAGGAGTCACGTGGCAATGTCCAAAAAGACTTCCAAAATATACTGACTTTACAAAACATGTATCTTAACTTGCAAGGCAAGTTATCCATGTATATGCCACATAGTTAGCTTGTTTTACAAGCTACTACATGGAGTTAACTTGTTGGCCAAGTTTCTAACCTATAAATACACCTAAAGTCAAAACCACATCTATAAAGCTTCTACGAAGCTTTTCTAGAAGACTTTATGAAATTAATCTATATTTACCTATTTCTTCCTAATCATATAAGTAACTATTGGGATAAATGTATATATCTATGACAATATCAAAATTCATTAATCAAAAGATTATTCTTAAATATTTTATTATTATAAATCTTTATGCTTTCAAGCACTTTTATTATATTATTAAATAATTTATAAAGATTTACACATTGATTTCTATTTATAAGGATTTTTATCTCCAATAATACCTCAATTTCTTTGTTATAAATTTGGCATTGAAAAAAAAAATTAATATCTTTTTTCCATTTTTTTGATACAAATTCAACACTTTGCATGAATTTAATAATAAATTTGATAATAGCTAGAAATCCCAAAATACAAAAGATCATAATAAATATCCAATTACTTAAAATATATTTTGTGAATAATTCTATAAGATTATCCATCATGAATAATTAGATGATATACATAATCAACCTTCATACACACAATTATACCCTCATTAGAATTTTATTTTTTTACATCCTATAAATTTTAGCTACTAAAAGCTTCTAAATATAATTAAAATATCATTGATATACTTAACTTGAATTAAAAAAAATCTATAATTATGATAGTTCTTTTTCCTGAAATTATTTGATATATGTAATTTACATTAATATGACCAAAACTTACAATTAAAATGTTATTAAATTTACATATCGAATGTCTACTTATTTGGCCCTATACATAAAAAACTAAAAAATATTTTTATAGAAAACTAAAAAAACTATCTAAAAAACCATTTTTAAATTATTTTGGAAATTAAAAATTTTCATTAAACTATGATTTCATAGTAATCAAATTATTAAGACTTTATATTACGATTATCGTATTATTTTATTTTAGTTTTTTTAAAATAAAAAAAATTAAAAATAAAGGCAAGCATCTAGATTGTGTGTGAACAGAGATAATGAATAGTAGCTGAAATATATCTGACATGCAAGTGTGAGCAGGCCCTTAATTAAACCAATTCCAAGAAAACCTATATTAGGAACAGAGCGGCAAAGGGTTTCATGCAACAAGGGAATGTAAGATGCTCGTGCCTAAAACCGCGCTTCGAGGACCACTCTTCATTCCCACAGCCGAACCATTTAGAAATTGGACACCACCTCAATTCTTCGCAACCCAAATAATCGGAAATTGAGAAGCTCTGAAATAGGGTGACAAAACTTGCTTCCCTTCCCCACAGCCTCGATAAATCTCGACAAACCTACTTCAGAGGAACGCTCTCCAAAACTCAAGTCTCGCCGCAAACCCTAGCGGACACAAGCACTGCAGCAGAGCTTCTCTTCATGCGCACCGTCCAGGTAGGGCCTTAACAGTAGAATCCCCCTCACACTAGTATTTACGCTGCAATCCGCTCAACCCACAACAGACTCAGCGCACTATCCCTCTGACCCGAGCTAGTGCATACCACAGGCTCTTGTGATAACCTGTACGCTGGGCGACAGGGCCCCTACCAAAGACTCGCTACGGCATCCCTAGCACAAATCTCAGACACATCCCAGCGCGAAAGCTTGCGTAGAAGCAAGAGAGAGAGCAAACATTCTGGTGGAGTCGCAATGAAAAATAAGCAGTGATGTTGAGCCTCACCAATAATGAATGCCTCGCAGGAATCCTAGGTCGTGGCGAGCCCCCCGTTACGAGATCTGTCGATTTGTACCGACTTTGCAATAATTTGAAGCAAAAAGAATTTAAATTTTATTAACAAAAATAGTATTGATTCTTGTAATAAACATAGGGGAATGTTAAATAGACCCGAGTTTTTTCCTATGTCAACGTATCCATCCAAATCATTGTGAAAATAATAAAAAAAAAATTGACATCTAGATTCATTTTCCCACTCTTGGATCTATAACTAATAAAACCCAACCACATTCATTATAATTACCATATTTTTCATCAAAAGTGGGTCTACTTAACATTCCCCTAAAACCAATCATTTGATAAAAAAAATTATTGACCAAACAAGATTAATATGTTAGTTATAAATATTTTCATGGAAGATTAATCAAGAAGTATAAATGTCCTAAAGAAATCTGACTTTCATGTTAAAAAAATTAAAATCATAGATAAACTTTTAATTTAAATTTAAATTTTTTTGTAATACATAAAAAAGAAGAAGTTATTGGTGTGTATTTTTCAATCCAATAGTAGCTTATTTGTGTTCAAAGAATCAAATTTTTAGATCTATTTAAAGTGAATATTGGACATAAAGAAACTTTATCTTAATAAATTAAGTATATTTCTTCTTTGACCAAATTTTGAACCTCAAACCAAATGAAAAGTTAGAATATATTTTAATCTACATCTGAATGTTGATTAATAAATTCAAAAAGTTAGTCAACATTTTTATTATTTGAATTTATTAATCAACATAAGATCAAGATACATAAAAATTCTAGATAAAATAAGGGGAATGCTAAATAGACCCAAGTTTTTACTAAATCGACTCACTCATCATAACCATCATGAAAAAAAATAATGACATCTAGATCCATTTCTACACTCTTGGATCTACAACCAATAAAAACCAACCACATTCATTATGATTATCATATTCTTCATTGAGGGTGAGTCTATTTATTAAAAGCATGGGTCTATTTACTATTCCCCTGAAAAAGAAAACAGACATAATACATACAAAAGTGAATCAACTGATCAGTGCCATTAGTATCCTAAGCAAATACTAAGAATATTATACACATTGGAGAATGGTTGCAGACAGTAGGTCAGTAGTGGCCTAGATTGGAATTTCTTCTGCGGTTAAGTCTAGCTCTACGAGAGATGTTGACTACAAATAGTAATTGATTTGCACTGGAATGCACAAAGGTAGTCTGGGCATTCTCATATTCCTGTACATTCAATTTTTGATGGACTGGGCTGCAGCAATGAAGCCCACATCAGTAGCACTGACCTCACGTTAACCCCAACTGTACAATACTCCACTTAAAGACAAGATCTGTGTGACATCCTTGGAGATTGGTGTCACTGCGGATGGCGAACACTAACAGAGCATTGCCAACTGGAGACTTTGAATTGGACTTGTGGGTGATAGAGAGTTGACGTTACAATAACACTGTGCTTAATTCTTGTTCTACAGACGATCTGCCAGTTCTGTTTTATTTTCACTCGCTTGGTTTATTATCATTATTGATCTGGTGTGTGCTCAGAGCATCCGTTTGATGCAATTATGGATCAAATAATGCTCAATGAGAGAGCAAGTCTTCTTCATGCTCTTCATGTTGCCGAGCTTTCCAGCGACAGGAGTGGAAGGGATGACCCTGATCTTGGCAACTGCGTGATCACTCCTGACCACAGCCTACATCATGGACTTACCCGAGGTCCAAGCACTTCTAAGGCGCAACTACACTAGCGCATTCACTGTCGTCGGGAAGATGTTCGCCACCCTGAACGTGTTCGTGGGGCTTGATGAGTTGAACAACATGCCATGTGAGTACAATTCGAGTTTTTTGTCTATGGACGGATACGAATACTAGAGACTCCTGCAATTCTAACGACTTTTTTTTGGCAACTGAGGCGACTGAATATCGCTCACGGAAGCCGTGCTGCAATAATCTTCAACTTCGATGTGAACATGAAATTCAAGGATATTTATGAAATCTCGTTCTTGGGGCTAGAGTGTATCTCAGTCAGTGAAGGTTTAGCCGCAGAATTTCTTTTCCTGCATGACTTCCCACGGCTATGGTTCGATGAATAGATAATTGTGCACATCAATTACAGTCATACTTGTTTTAAAAATCCCAGATATGTACACCAAGCTCCAACAGTAAAACAAACATTGAAGCGTTTTAATAAACACCAAGTAAACCGTCAAGAGGTAAAATGCGCTCAGTTGAACAGATCAATGATGGTCAACGTACAAGTTTATGGAACAAGCTAGGAGGCTGAGCGCCACAATCACTGTCCTGTATACCTACTGCCATATCCTAACTAGTTCTTCACACTACATGATATGCATCGTAATTAGCAGTTGTTAGAGGACAACAAGACTAATGCTGTTTGTGCTGTCATCCACAATCCACGAAATACATGTCGGGGCAATGAAGTCTCACTGGTTGCCTACCCATTTTCTGAAACACCAAGAGATCAAAAACTGAACGGGGCGTCAGATTTCATGACCAATACCAAACTCTATTGCAACTGATCTAACTCTTGCTGAGATTTCCAACAGGAAGGGTGAAGTAGGAGTTTTCGTTTGTCAACAGTCCAGCCAGGCCCATATACCACGCAATGAGGCTAGTAATAATGCCGAAGAAGCCACCAGCCTGGAACGGGCACTCATGGTACAGTAGCTGAGTCAGTGAAGGTATTGAAACACCAAGTGATTTGCAAAAAAAAAAAAAAAAAAAAAAAAAAAATCTTCCTGAACCGCCACAAAATTTACATGAAGGGGAAGATTTACCCTTTTGAAGCCTTCATGAGAATGCTTGAAGTCGGAGATGGTGAGCAGCGCCAAGGTGAGTGTCAGAAAGGCGAACAAGGCGCTGAGAGCGATATTTGCCCTCAGTGTCCCCAGCCACATCATGAAAGTGTACATGGTCCACGCAAGGAGGTAAATTGCAACGGCAGGCAGAACATCCTCCTCGTAGCCTCCAAGGAAAGCTTCTTTGAATCCGAAGCCAGGGATGAGAATCGCGGCGTAAGAGAGCCAGAAAGCGCTGTAGGATGAAAATGCCGTCGCACCAAAAGTATTGCCGGTCCTGAACTCCCACATGCCTGCGAGAAGCAGCACCAGGCCACCGTAGAAGAAGGCGAGCCCTGTAGCGACGTTGGTGGGCGTTGACGCTGAAACACCGAAGATCGCCGCATGGTGGCATGACAGCACGAAGGTTGTTAGCGCAATTGCGAAAAGACCTAACGGTGCGGGATTGGCAATGAGGACCACATGCAAGGGCGGGGGGATGTGTCTGACATCTAGGTCATAGTGCCCGTTCTCCGCCATAGCTGCAATTCACACACACACACACGAATACCTTATTTACAGCGAAAATCTCTGAAACCAGTCCTGTAATCTTTCATCCTAAGCTCCATCTAGTTTTCGGAATGGAATGGTTTCAAATCCTGTATCATCTTTAAACTACCACAGTGATTGTGCCAGTGCTATCCAACATCTCAGTGTGTGTTTTACCCTTCGTTCACGTTACACTGCAACAAGCTGCGTTGATGAAACTCTAGCAGGTGTTGTCTCGAAGTGTTTACGAACGCGTAATTTTGACTTACTGACCTTGAAAGATTGGGTACTTGGCCTTGAAGTGCAAACTAATGATATTTGTGCAGAAACACACTATCGACAGTGGAAGCTATCAAGTGTCGTGTGTGTAATCCAAGCTCGTTTACATGCTGCAACGTCTTCTCAAAGAAGGTGCCACAGGGTTATTTGGCAACATTCACTAGTTTCGGCAACTCACTGTATGGCAGGATTGTTGCGAAGTCACAGCGGAGTTATAGTAGAATTAGATTCCTAAACCAACCATCTGCAATCTTTGTACATGAATCTCAGACGCATAACGAGAGGTTGTAACCATCGGTCTACCTTCAAATCCCTTAAAAATAGCCATACGCATGAGCATGCCGATACTGTGATGCCATGTAAGCATTGCAATTCTCACAACACAGTCCAGCTGTATCGGTGCAGGTTCTCTGTGAATTTCCCACAGTTAATAGGCAAGAAAAAAACTAGAGTTGTGTGAAGCATGCAAGCGATGAGGATGGTGACGGCACCGCAGCCATTTCATGAAAGGAATGACCCTGCAGATCTTCGCACACGATGGGCACGCGAGAGCATGATCGTGGTACTATTGCAACTAAATTCGAGGTCTAAATCTAAAAAATAATGATTCCAGGATACAATCCTAGTTCCTCTCGTAGAGGTTGAGTGTTTTTTTGGTACAAATCTGATATGTGTGGCGTTGCCGGGAAATTGGAAAGTAAACAAACTGAAGATCTGGATAGATTGCCGGTTATTCCTTGTTTCTCCGAACCGTGCCTCATGTGCGCACAAAGAGATCAGATATATAATGACAACGCTCGCACGAGCTGCGAATTTTTTAAATGCAATCTTACTCGCAGGTTTAGAAACCTGCCCCATGGTTGGAGTGAAAGCAACTTGGTCCAAAACTCCTAGTTTTCTGAGGAAGATTTAACGGAGTTTGTATCGAAAACTTGATCACATTTCTCGTGATTGAAGACTGATGTGGAGAAGCGTGTGATATCCCCAGGACCACACACGAGTCAGTCGAGGTTCAAGTCCATGGGAAGCCAAGAGGAAGTTGCTTGGGTTCCTGCAAACAGCCATCGACGGATGACGTAGGACACCAAACGTCCTGTGCCTCGGCGATTCTTCATCTTGTGACCAACCCAGAACATCTCTCTGTTGAAATCACCACATTCTGGGGAGAAATTTTCCACGACCCAGATCTAGATTGTACTGTTGAAGTTGAGGTGCGATTTTTTTTATGTTCTATTTAATTTTTGGAAGGGAGAGGGAAATTTTTCCTTTGAAGTCTCGTTGTAATGTTTCCGAAAAGAACTTGTTGACGTTTGCAGGAGATTCCTTGCCCAATGATTGAAGAGATTTTTGTGGCAAGAAACATTTATTTTTATTATTATTATTATTATTATTATTTTTGTAAGGACAACTACTCACTTGTAAGAATCATATTAGAATAGAATGTTGATATATATGTTTTGAATATGTCTTAAAAGTCCTAACATTGTTCTTAAATATTAATAAAATATTTAATTTAAAAAATAACAAATGTTGCATGAATGACAAAAAAAATTATATTAATCTATGGATATTTTTACTTAATAAAATAAATGCAGTTCTTGTCAATCTTGTTGCTAATTGGCATGTGTTGGACGTCCATATTCAAGTTCAGGATGCTATCAAAGGGCTAACAGAGGACCAGGAAGTTGATTGACCATTCAGGTAATTTTTTTGATTCCAAAATTTCTTATGCATTGATCACAGAATTGGAGAAGATTGATTGACATTGAGTATGTGTCTGCTACAAATGTGCTAAATTATGTTTTGAATGTTATGACTAGTTTTGATTGTTTTCAATTTAAGGAAAGCAACAAACATTATTTCTTTGCAGTTGATATGCAAATATTGCAATCCTGTCATATTCACCTATACATTATTCTTGATATAATTATGCCTGTAATCCTAGCAGATGGTTAGTTCATTTCAAAATACTTGTGTTATTGGTTTTGTGTACTTGTTTGTGAAGGTCTTTAGGAGACTGTTTGTTCTCTAAGGCTGGCATGTTGCCATGATTTTTGGCTTGAGGCACAGACTGATACAACAACAGCCATGGCCACTATAGAAGAACAGATGCGTAGACATTTCTGATTTAACAATATGCATAGTGAGAATGACAAAGGTGAAGTTGATGGGGTGGACAAAGTTGCTGATGGAAAGATTTTACAAAACTTAGCTCTACACCATCATAACTCCATGATCTATATTCAATTCCAATAAGAAATAGAGAAAGATACTATGTTACAATGCTAAACTTCATAAATTGATTATCCATGTGCATGTGCAGCAAATCAACACTGCACTCCCCAGAGTTGCTGCATTGAGAAGTGAAACACATTTGTCACCACAGACCCATCTCTGGAGGCTGGAGGAGTGGGGATTGAAACACTCCAGCAATGTGTACATTTAAAAACATTGCATAGTTTTAAAAGTTCGGTTTGTTTTGTTTTGTTTAGGTTTATATCAAAAGTTGCATTACCTAATATCTAAAACTGTTCATAAAATAAATAAATTACAAAAAAGGTAAAAATAATATATTATTTTTTTTGAAAACGGTAATTTTTTTAAATATTTAAGTTTTTAAAAAATATATCAGATTTTACTTTATATGAATTTTAATGATATATTGTTACCTATACTGACTAAAGTGAATATAAATTTTCTTCAATTAAAAATAATTATTTAGATTTAAGATTTACTTACTTTAGAATTTTTTGAGGATTTTATTTCATTTTTTATTTATGAAAAAAAATATAAAATTAAAATTGTATTGATATTTTTTCAGAAACTATGTAAATGCATGCATCAATTCAGAAGACCCATTAAATCTTTTACTTCTGGCTCCAAATGAAATTGCTAATCAGAATCTTTAAAATAAGTCTACTTTGCTTATTTACTGGAAATTTCTGTATTATAACTACTTGGTAAAATGATTTTTAATTGTATTAAAAATGACTTTAATTTGTATCAAAGATAAAACTTAATTTATTTGATATCATGTTGGTATATATATATATATATATATAAATGAACATCTACATCATGTATTTTATTAAAAATTAAAAGATAAAATTATAAGATTAAACCTTTGTCGAAATCATGAAGATATCTAAAGCATTTTCAATTGTGTATTTTGTAAAAGCATCATCAAGAAATTTAGAAGAGATTAAGACATTTGTATAACCAAATTCATTTGAAAATTATAACTCCGATTTAATTATTATTATGATTATAAAAATATTTATATGCATATATATATATATATATATATATTAAAAATTAAAACATGATAAAGAATCTAAAAAATAAAAAATAAGAATGTTACTTTTATCAATATATAATTTTTTAAGAAGAACGAATAAAATAAATTTATATTTCTACATAAAATACTTGTCCTTAGATATTTAAGAAGAAAAGGAAAGAAATAGATATTAAACCATGAATTTTAATATTACTAAATAATATTTAAAATAAATATATCTTAAATCAACTCACTTTCTATGACTTATTCAAAAAATAAATAAATTATATACATCTATAATATAATAGAATTTATATCTAAGGTGGCTGCAGTAATACATACTTACATCAAAAATATAAAACACATGCAGACATGGGTTATCTAGATATATGGACATATATATACACTTTGTAATGCAAATTTTTTGTGCTAGGAAATTTTCATGGAAATTTGAAAGGATTGTAAGAATACCTCAAATTGTATCCAAATCAAGTGTTTACTCTATTTGCAAACTGTAGATTGTGGTGTAAAAATATGGTTTTTATAATATCAACATGTTAAAGATGAATGGACATGTTGAAATTTTAACAAAATTCACTCAATTCTTTGATTTGATGGATCAATTTGCCATTGTATATATATTTTAAAGTAAAATTATGCAAATATCTGATTAAAAGTATTAAATATTTTTATAAAAATAAAAATAAACTCTCAAGAAACACTTAAAAATATTTTGCATTAAAACTTATAGAGGTACATTAGAAGCTTCATAAAAAAATAAGTTTTAATTCATAACACTATTTAAATTTAAAAATTATATAACTTCATATATCAAAATAATATGTATGTTTTTTTTAGTATTTATAAAAATTATCAAATTCAAAAACATAGACATTCTTGGATTTAAAAATCTAAGATTATATATAGTTTTAAATCTCTATAAAACAAAATTTAAACCATTAAATTGTAAGCTTGAAATATGATTCTATATAAGAATTTAAAATATTTTAATATTATATATAATACATTATATTATAATACTACAAAATTTTAAGAATTATAATTAAATCTAAAATACAAATAAATAGGTCAAGAAAAAAATAAATTTTAATGATGGTTTATTTTTATTATTTTATATAATAATAATTAAAAATTTTATATCTAATTAATAATTGGAATATAGTAGAGCCACCTTAAAATAAAGATTCTTGTAATCTATTGCAAAACTTTGAAAGTACAAGTATTTCAACTGAAGTTATTAACAATAAATAGGAATGTTGTTCAACTTTGGAAGGTCCTGCCAATTTCTACAATTGGAATCTATAAAAGAAATATCCTTGCTTTTAATCTCAAAATCGTCTTTATTTGTCACAAAAAAAGAAAAAAAAGAAAAACACAAACCAATATAACAAAGTCTTTCAATAGATCAATAATGCCAAAAACTAAAAGATAAAGCATTCTTTGGAAGTTGAAGAAAATATCAATATTAAAAAAAACATGTATATGTTTGTGGATTTAAAAATATTTAAAAATATTTGAAATAAGGTATCAATTAAATATCAATAATACTATATATTTTATGTTAAATTTTAAATAATATTCTATCATCCTAAAAAATAAAATATACATTAAAATCAAGCTCAAATTATGCAATTCAAACTAAAGTTGCACAACTTAAATTATGAAAAATCGATGGTAGAAATTGTCATAGACATACATATTTACCTAGATAAGAAGTGCTAGATAGAAGTTAAATGTAGTTAGATTTGATATTATCTTAAGGCGAGGCTTCTTAAAAGCTTCATACATGTATATTTGATTTTATGTATGTTTATAGTTGATTAATAGGTTAGAAACTTGGCCAACAAGTTAGCCATGTATTACATGTATGGATTGCTTATTTTACAAGCTAAAAATATAGTACACATATAAGAAACTTAACTTGCAAGTTAAGACATATGTCTTGTAAATTTGACACATATTGGAGGTCCTATAGGACATCGCCACATAGCTC